TCCTCCAATGGGACACCAGCCAGGAAAGCGGTGGATGTCGATACCGGCCGTGTAGAATGGGCAGTGACAGAGGTAGGAACGGGTTGACGTGCAAGCTCATAGCAAAAGGCTATGGTGGAAGTCACCCACTTAGACAAGCGTTGAGAGGAAATTGGCTCCCCGACATGAGGGGGCCCATAGGCAAGGAACAGCCAAGGAGATTTACGTATAGGTTGTTGTTGTTGTTCAGTCGCACAGTCGAGTCCGACTCTTTGCGACCCCATGGACCAGCTCCCGTCAGGCCTTCCGGTCTTCCGCCATCCTCTGAAGTTTCATGTTCGTTGCATCGATGACACTGTCTAACCATCTCATCCTTTGCCGTCCCCGTCTTCTTTGACCTTCAATCTTTCCCAGCATCAGGGTCTTCTCCAGTGAGTGCTCCCTTCTCATTTGGTGGCCAAAGTATTGGAGCTTCAGTTTCATTATCTGGCCTTCCAGGGAACAGTCAGGGTTGATTTCTTTTAGGATTGACTGCTTTGATCTCCTTGCAGTCCAAGGGACTCTCAAGAGTTCTCCAGCACCATAGTTCAAAAGCATCTATTCTTCAGCGCTCAGCCTTCCTTATAGTCCAACTCTCTCAGCCATACATGACTACTGGGAATACCATTGCTTTGACCATGCGGACTTTTGTTGGCAGGATGATGTCTCTACTTTTTATCATGCTGTTTAGGTTCGCCATCGCTTTCCTCCCAAGGAGCAGGCGTCTTTTAATTTCATGACTGCTGTCACCGTCTGCGGTGATCTGGGATCCCAGAATGTGAAGTCTGTCACTACTTCCACGACTTCCCCTTCTATTTGCCAAGGAGTGATGGGGCCGGATACCATGATCTTAGTTTTTTTGATGTTGAGCTTCAAGCCCACTTTTGCGTCACCTCTTTTACCCTGAGCAAGAGGCTCTTAAGGTCCTCTTCACTTTCTGCCATTAGAGTGGTATCGTCTGCATATCTGAGGTTGTTGATCTTTTCCCCAGCAAACTTAATTCCCGCTTGTGATTTATCAATAAAGGAGAGGGCTCTGCGCACATCGAGGCAGTGGAGGGCTCTCTGAGGTGCATCAGTCAGATAAGGAAAGAATGAAGGTAAGACAGACGACTGGGACACAAACGACTTTAGACAGGAAAGAAGCATCTGGTCTAAGCATAACCTTCTCCTTATGGAAAATTGCATAGGGGGGGATCAGCCCGAAAGACAGCTAGTTCCCCTACTCTGCGCGCAGTAGTAATCGCTACAAGGAAGACAGTTTTCCAGGAAAGCAACCTGAACTCGACCGTAGCCATCAGCTCGAATGGCTTAGACATCAGTTGAGTGAGAATGAGAGAGAGACTCCACGAAGGCACCAAAGGCTTCCTAGGGGGACAGAGCTGGAGGAGACCTTTGAGGAACAACTTTGTAAGACGGTGGGAAAAAACCGTGGATCCCTGTATGAAGGGATGATAGGCTGAGATGGCTGCTAAATGAACCTTTAAAGACGAGTGTGCAACGCCAGTGTTCTTTAACGAGAAGAGATAAGAAAAAATCTCACGGAGAGATGACTGGAGAGGATCAAAGGACTGATCAGAGACATACGACTGGAACCTCTTCCACTTCAGAGTGTAAGTGGCATGAGTAGATGGCTTCCTGGCATTCAGAAGGACTTCGGACACTTCAGGTGGGAAGTCTAGTGCAGGATCTTCCAGGCCATCAATCGGAAGAAACCGGGATCGGGGTGGAGGACCCTTCCTCGAGCCCGAGAGAGATCTGGGACAACAGGGAAAGTCCAGAATGTCTGGTTGGAGAGCCGAAGGAGGTGAGGAAACCAGATTTGCTGCGGCCACCATGGGGTGACTAGGATGCAGGTCGTGGCATCGTCCATAATTTTCTGAACGACCCGGGAGATCAAGGGGAACAGAGGGAAAAAGTAAAACAGGGTTCCCTTCCAGGTGTGAAGAAAGGCATCTCCCAGGGACTGAGCGGACGGTGGACCGCGGCTGAAAAAGAGGCAACACCGGACAATGACTGCAGTTGCAAAGCTGTCTACAACAGGGCGACCGAACTCAAGAAAGACAGGTTTCAGGTATCGAAGGTGGATGGGACATTCTTTGTCCAAAAACTGGGAGCGACTCAACCGATCGGCATCGATGTTTTGAGCGTTCGGAATGTGGATCGTGGAAAGCGTGATGGAATGGCGGATGGAGGTCTGCAGCCACCACAGCCATCAGCTTGGTAAAAACCCTTGGGGCAGTGTAGAGTCCAAACAGAAGGACCCGGTATCGATAGTGTGCGTTGCCGACAGCGAAACGCAGTAACTTTCAATGTTGGGGACAGATAGTGACATGAAAATACGCATCCGGGAGATCAACAGAGGTGAGCTACGCAGCCCGGGGAATCAGTGGAAGAATAGATTGTAGGGTGACCGTTTGGAACTTGTGGCATCAAATGTATCGATTCAGATCCCGAAGATCCATAACGGCCCTGAAGCCGCCATCCCTCTTTGGTACGAGGAAATACTTGGAGTAGAAGCCTAGGTTCGTTGCGCTTCCGGGACGACCTCAATGGCGCCTTTGGCTAGAAGCGCAGAAATTTTGGAATCGAGGATCTGGGGGGTGACGACATAATGAGGTAGGTCAGGAGGCGAAACGAACTCTATGCCGTACCCGACCCATAAGATGGTAAGGACCCAGATATTGGTTGAAATTTCTTCCCACGTTCGTAGAAAAGGGAAGAGTCGGGTCCGGACGGGAGAGGTATAAGATGGAGGAGACGGCAGGGGATTGAAGTGGTCAAGCAGACTGCTTGGGCTGCTGGGAGTTTTTAGGGGCCTGTTGGCGCGCCCTATTCAGGTAACAGGAGTCATAGGGCCTGTTTCTCCAATGGGAGGTGGGCGCAGGAGACAGCTGGCGCCTGGCATAATATGGTTTCCAGGAACGGTACCGGCGTCGAGGCATTGATGCCGAGACACCTAGGTTCCGAGCCTGCCTTCAACTATCATCGACAGCCTTTAAGGCCTCGTCAGTGGTAGAGTGGAAGAGACCTTCACCATCGAAGGGGAGGTCCTCAATCCGAAATTTCACATCGGGCTGTAAAGAGGTACCTCTTAGCCAAGCATGGCTACGGAGAAGACAAGAACTTTTGAGGAGCAAGTGACAGCATGATGGACTGAATTAATTTGCTGTTTTGAGATCGTGCAAATATCTGATAACGCTCCTGACAACGTTGGATGGTGATCCTCCAGAATAAACTGTAAGAAGGGACGGACTGCATTAGCCATGTTAAATGCATAAGCCGACAGATATGACAGGTAGGTGTCAATACGAAGAGGCGAAGCAATATATCTTCTTCGCGATAACATCGATTTTGTGGCCCTCGCGATTGGGAGGCGCAGAGTGGCAGGCAGATTGCTTAGATTTCGAGGAAGATTGTACCACCATGGAATTCGGTGGAGGCTGCCTGAAGAGAAACTTCCCAGAGTTTTCTTGGACCTTATAGAGAGCTTCGTATCATCTGGCGACCGGGGCAATCGAAGCGGGATGAACCTATGTCTCCTTGAAAGCAGAAAGGTGGACCGGCAGCAGAGGCAGGACCATAGAAGGCGGGAGGTTGGCCGGAACAAGCTTGTGAATAACATCGGTCACAGCCGGGGATTCAGTGGAACCCTGGACCTGCAGAGGCCATCCTAGTTACAAGTTCCAAATACGCTTTCGGACCTTCAGTTGGTGAAATAGAACCCGAGGCCTGAAGCTCATTGCTGATGTGTGGAACATTGAGTTTGAGGTCTCCCGAATCCAAGTTATCGGAAATCGACATGGGAGAGGAGGATCTCCGCGGTTGAGTGAGATCAGCCGGTATCGAGTCATCAGTAGGGGAATGAAGCCCAGGTCCTGAGGGAGAACACTTTGGGGCCTCCCTAGGTCTCGAGAGCTCAGGAGGCTGGTCAGGAGCCACAGAGCGGGTCAAAGTCATGGACCGAGAACGTCTGGTGTGATCTGATATGCGTAGATGATCAGGATGTTCGAAGTGACGAAGCCGATCATAGTGGTGTCGGCGAGGAGTAGGAGACTTCAGATAATAATACGGATAGTTATCAGGCCGATCTTGTTCATCAGGACACCAATATTGGTAATCAGAAGGCGATCCCGAGGGAGAAGGCAACTGGTGACAAATGAGACGCTTTCGATCATACCGAGATCGAGAATGGTAGCCAACAGAATGCTCCCTGCCCTCCAAATGGTGGATCGGGGTACGGGAGTGTGGCGACGGAGATCGAGAGTCCCGGTGACACGACAAGTCGGGAGCAGTGTTCCCTCTGAGCCGAGTTAGTGTGAGCTAGCTCACAGTTTTTTAGCCTCCGGCTCACACTTTTTCATCTTAGCTCAGGAAGGAGGGCTCCAGAGCAAACTAATTTATGCAGCAGCCCAATTGCTTGCTCACAAGACTCCACAGCTTAGAGGGAGCATTGGTCGGGAGGTGATCTCGTAGATTGACCCAGCGGAATAAGCCCAGATGCTGAAGAGAGCGTAGGCGGTGGTGTTGGAGGCCGCAAAGTGAACTTGTTAGGTACACAGCCACAGCTGGGGTCGATGTCATTAAGCCCGTAATGACGAGTGGGTCGACAGCCGAAGTCAATGACGAGGGCTTGGCTTTCGATTTCGAGGAAGCCTTATCCTCAGGCCGTTTAGAATTCAACTTTGGAGCCGTCTGATTTTTGAGAGACAGTCGAAGCCATGGCAGGGTGCAAAGCTGCCTCTAAGAGCACAGCCCTAAGGCGAGTCTCCTTATCACGTTGAACTTGTCTAGTAAAACTAGCACAATGTCTCCCCACTCTCTCCCTGGCCCTTCCTGGCTTGCCCGCTGAGGCAGGCGAGCCAGCAGAGGGCGGGGGGGGGGCTCCAGCAGCCGGCTGGCTGGGGAAGCAAAAAAAGGGGGGGGAGGCATCTTCATAAACCTCCCCTTCCCTTCCCCAGCTGGCCTGTCAAGGCAGGCTGGGGGAGGGAGCGACGAGAGAAGGGGTTTAAAGTTTAAACCCCTTCTCTCTCGAGTCGCACCACAGTGGCGGCGCAATCTTTCCATTGTATTCTATGGCCCCATAGAATATAATGGAAAGATGACTCTAGAGAGCCCACCTTGGCAGGACAGCTGGGGAAGGGAAGGGGAGGCTTTTGAAGATGCCACCCCCCTTTTTGCTTCCCCTTCTGACATCACTTCCAGAGATATCAGGGGGTGTGGCATATGCTAATGAACTCCTGCAGCTCTACGAAATGACCCCTGGCAAAAGCCATGGACTTTTGAGTCTGTCTAGGTCCCGTCGTTCTGGGAGATCAGCCTGTATCTATATCGTTTCTTGCTAGTGAATTTTTGTCATAAACCTGGAAAATTTCTCTTGCCTCTTTTCAGGCCTACTTTTAGGAAAATTGCTTTTCTTTGGTTCAGGCTGTCACTAGTCTAACGGGTTTAGGCAAGAGCCTAATACAGCATCATTTGAAAAGATTCCTATTTTTTTAAAATAATATTTTTTAATTAAAGCGTAACAACTCATAATCAGAACCAGAACACAGCAAACAATACATCTAGTTCACAAATTAAAACCAAATCAAGGAAGAGAATGTATACAGCTATAGTTACTCTTTTCTAAGCGCTTAAAAGTTTTTTAATGTGGCCAATTATTGTCATCTGAAATATTCTTAGAATTTTGAATTGCTTTTAGTTGGACTATCCTATATACTAATAGCGAACTTGCCCCCGGAGTGCGGATCGCTAAATCAGCGCTCTGGGGGCAGCTGGGGGGCCGGGGGAGGTTTGTGCACTCTTGGGGCAGTCCCCAGGGGTGCACAAAAATGTAAAAACTAAAAAAAAATATCGGGGGGATGTTTAAATCCCCCCGAAAATGAAAGAGCATTCTCTGCGCCTGCGCACAGAACGCTCTGTAGCCGACCTCGCCGCCGCTGCCACTTCGGAGCCGCCCAGGGGGCGGAGGGGAGGTCCGGCTTCGCCGCCGCCGCCTCCGCCACGGAGCCGGACGGCGGGGGGGTGGGGAGACCGGCCTCGCCACTGCCCCCAGCGCCTCCGCCTCGGGGAGATCGAGCAGAGGGGGGGATGGAGGAGATGGAGCTCTTCTCTCCTCCCCCCGCGAATATCGCGGGTCCCCCTCTTGTATATATATATTAGAAATGATTTGCAAAATATTTGAACACCTTGACTTAAAATATTTTATTCATCATGTTAAAATAAAACGTTCCATAATCAATTTTTTTCTTCTTCTTTTTTCAATTTTTCCAATTTTTAGGAAAAAAACAAAAAGGCTTCAGGAAAAAAATGGGGGGGGGAAACGTCCCCCCCCCCGAATTTTTACAGTTTTTTTCCAGGCCTTCACATCTCTAGGAAGGAGGGCTCCAGAGCAAACTGATTTCTGCAGCAGCCAAATCGCTCGTCCACAACTTTAATGCCAGCAGCTCACCAAGTAGAATTTTTGCTCACAAGACTCCACGGCTTAGGGGGAGCCTTGGTATAGAGGGAGGCTTAAGAACATAAGAGAAGCCAAGGTTGGATCAGGCCAATGTCCCATTCCTCCAGAGGCCAGGTCTAGAATATAGTGGGAAGGGGTGGGTAGTACACCTGTTCTCCGGAGGCCAGGTCTACAATATAGTGGGAAGGGGTGGGAAGACCTGGCCTCTGGAGGGGGGGCGCTCCAGGGGGGGGGGGTAATCGAGCCAGGGGGTGGACGGGGGGTGGAGGAGATGGGGGAACCGGCGGGATAGGGGGGGAACTTACCTCCTCCTGCTGCTTCCTCCTCTTCCTCATAGTTGTGGAGCTCCCCCTCTCCCGCGAGTATTGCGGGTCCCCCCCTTGTTGATGATAACTCCCACACCTTTAAGAATCAGTCTAATTCAGGCAATATTGGCTGTTCCCAATAAACATGCAAATTCTCTCCTTGCAGAGGTCAGAGCATATAGTAGTACCTCTCTGGGATCAGTAGTTCTGATATTGACACAATTTAAGAGATACTATTTAGAAAGATTCCTAATTGTAATGTAATTCCATTGTCCTTTAACATGCAGTTCTGGCTTAGAACAGCAAGTCCCAAGTAGTGGAACCAGATTAGTCAGGAACTAGCATTTGCTTCCCATGCACTCTTTCTCCTAATGCTTATGACATTGCTCCCTAAAAGGACAGCTACTGTACTGTGTATGTTGAAGTGCAGCAAGGGTTCCCTTTGCATTTAACAAACTTAGACACAGCTGCTTGAAATAAAATCTAGCACCATGCCCTTTGTCTACTCTGAAAAGCAGCAGCTTTCCATCTTCCTGGGCTGAAATCTTTTAAACTAGAGATGCTGGGGATTAAACTGGCATCTTCTGTAAGCAAAGCAGTAGCTTTATCACTAAGCCAGAGCTCCATTCCACAATGGTGGTTCATCATAAAATCTCTGCCTGCCTGCCTGCCTGCCTTCTTTGCATAGCTCTTAGAACTTCTCTGCCACCAGCAGAAGCACAAGAAATCACACACAAAAAAGTATATTTGTAAGTTTCCCTAATTTTATACTAGCCACAGGATTCAACTGTTCTTGGTACGTCATGATTTTGATCCTTTGTAACCATTAAGGTACTCAGAACTCACTCTTGCTAGCATGTGTGCATTACCGTGCTCATGGCAAGGTCACTCTTGGGCTGCACCACAACTATGGCACTACATTGCATGAAGGTGACAGATGAAGCCTGAACATTTTCTTGAGACAGAGTAGGGTCTTTATTTGTCACGTGATAGCTGGGGGTCACAAACATGAAATTGAGCAAACTCCAGAGGATAGCAGAAGATAGGAGGGCCTGGCGTGGTCCATGGGGACGCGAAGACTCAGACTTGACTGTGTGACTGAACAACAACATAAGGCTAGTCTGATTTAATGCTGTAATTTTATTTTAATCATTTATCATCTTGTAAACCTGCTAAGTTTTCAAGAATATGAAGGGAATTTTAAATGGAGTAAGACTATGAACATCAGAATTAGTGTTAGAAATTATCTCTCAGCTCCAGAGAAGGCAACTCATGTAGAGAAGCCTGTGTAGCAGAAACACAGAGGTTTAATTGGATGTAATTTCAAATGTATTCACAACAGGATTACTTTCAATAGGAAGTACATGTGCATGCTTGGGAGACTGCATTCTCATTTGGATGTTCTTCTGAGTTATGCCTGTTCCTAACACCCATAGGGAAGCCTGCCTTCACAGGCATATTGCCTTTTCTGAATTAGGGCATCTGTCTTTCACTCCTTTCAAGTAGTCCCTTGAATACATAATACTTTAAGAAGTTATCAGGTACAGCCCTGACCTCGATAGCCGAAGCAAACCCGGTCCCATCAGATCTCGGAAGCTAAGCAGGGCTGACTCTGGCAAGTACTTGGAAGGGCAACCTCCAAGGAATACCAGCAGCGGGACACAGTGGCAGGCTAATCAAGCCATCTCTCTGAAAAACATCCAAGCCCCTTGTAGTGGTCACCAGAAGTCAACCATGACTTCCAGGCAAGCACAAAACACACACACAAATATATGTATATAAAAAAGAAGTTCTCTGGTACAAAACTAGAAGACATTTATTTTTCTGTTACATTGGGTTGTCTAACATCTCATTAGTAAGTCATTCTTTGCAATATCTGAAGGGATGCCAGCTTCCTGCATGACATGAAACACTTGCTCTTTTTTTCCTGCCCAAAGGAATAAAAAAACCCAGAACAATTAGTAGTACCAATTTGCCCTTGGCCCTCTTTAAAACTTCTCACCAGATGGAACAAGTTTGGCAGCTCAGATGTTAAACCCAGGCAAGCTGCCACATCAGACACTAGGTGGTGGCAATCAGTAGACCAACTAGTGAGTAGCTACTTTTTATACTTTGTGTAACTTGTCATGCCCATCATTTCCAAATCAAACTGTATGTAAGTTATGGGAAGCAGCATTAATGCCTTACATGTCACCTTGACATTACCTGTAAGAGATTAGTTTTCTATGACTTCTAAGTGATCACATACTGAAAGACAGCCCCCTGCCCGAAATTTCAGTAAACATCAGGAATTCCAACTGCTCATCCCAGGTAGACAACCATGTTCTTCCAACATCAAATACATACATACATTTCCCTATTCCACATTAACGATACATCTCTGAACACAACTAGATTTCCCCAGTTGTGTTTAAACCCCAAAGCAAAATTTCCGCTTTGCCTTTTCACATAGTGAACAAGGCTGAGCAGATGGGGATCTGAGACTTTTTGATTACAGCTGGTTCTTCCATCAAGATCAAGCAGATTTCGCTGCAACAAGCATGTCTGCCAAAGCACTGGCACGGTCAGATACACAAGACAGTTGTGCCTCTCCCCTCTGTCTGTGATGCTTGACAATGGGGTTTAATGTACTGAGAGAGAACTTATGATCACCCATCATGTTTTTTCTGATACTGAGGCAACATGTTGCAAAGGTGTACATTAATGTCATGGTGGTGGCATATTTATCAAAAAAGGGAACTCACACACACAGGCAGCTTCCAATCCATGTACCTTTGGTGAAGAACATCTGCACTGCTATACAAATATTTAGAGCATATTCTGTAAAAAGCGAAGTAGCCCTCAGTACAGGTGTTTCCCTATATGTGTCTGACAATGTCAGAGCAGTAATTAATTGCCGAAGGTGGGGGGGGGGGGGGGGCTCAGCCAGATTGATTGCTATGAACATGCAGTATCCCAGCTCTGAACTTAGGAGCCATGCTTTTCCTGAATGTCATATGTGACAACTTGTGGTGACTCCGGGAAGAAGTAGCAATTGAAAGCTGATGTTATATCTTAGATTTACTTGTCTAGGACAATCGTTTAGTCCAGGGTTAGTTGGTCCCTACAGGTACCTTGCTTTGCCTTCTCTCAGCTCCTTTTGATTTCACATGGTCTTTCATTTGATTAAACCTTTGGCTGTCTTCCATCTCTGATAATCCTATGTCTTGGGTTTGAATTAATTTTTTGTTTTGTCACTAAAAACCCACTCCTTAAAAGCAATAAACGGCTATACCTTAAATCCATTAAAATGTGTAGTGAGGGTGTCATGATGTGTGTGACATGCTGGGGTGGGGGAAAGCATATGACAGTGAAAAACAGGGATTTTAAAATGCCAGTGATTTGAAAATCTCCTAGAAGTATGCTTAATGACATGTAAAAGCATTAGGATGAGGCTGTGCTTGGGCTCCTTTCAAAATTTCTTCCATGGCACAGAAAAAACTGTGGTGGCTTTCCGATGAGTGAAACAATGGCTTTGTTCCTAGTACCAAAACTAATAGTTCACCCACCATGAAAAGGACCTTACACCCTATGACATTACAGTTCTGTTTGCAGTGTTTGCCCAGTATGGAAATATGTACATCAGTTTAAGTGCAGAGAGTGGATTGGGGAGGGGGAATTAGTATATTCCACACAGGGGCTCCTGTATGCTTTGATAAGTGAGAATTATGAATAGGCAGTGTTCTCCATCTGCTTTAGCTGATGCGAAAGTCTCTACCACACCAGTATTTGGACCAAGTACAAAACTTGTCCTGTTATGTTCCATTTGGCTTTAGGGAGAAAAGGGTCAAAAGGATGGCTTATCACTAGGGAAGAATCATGGGGCATTATGCGACTGGTCCTGTCTTTTGCCAAATGAATTACTTAAGGTGCGCCAAATAAACCTGCATGTGATGCAGCATCAGCTGGAAGAATGCTGATGTAGCAGTAATGGAAATGAGATTGAAACCTAATACAACAGGGTCCTCTTAGGCCTGAGCTGTAAAACTGCCCCCTTCCTCTCACCTCTTGCTGTTTCTATTTCTTATCTCCTGATCCTGAACCTTCAGGTAGATTTTTCATAATCAAGTCAAGCCTAGTAGTCACATGTTTCAACTGTTTCTCCAGTTCTGCTGTATATCTGGAAAGCCTAGGGGAGAACAGAAAAAAGAATCCAATATAATGGAAATGCATGCAGCTGATTTACTTGGTTTTACTTGTCTTTTTTGAAGGAAGACAGAGCTCCAGTGGTAAAAATTAGGATTATCAATATAAGGTCCTTTTTCCTTTGCACAGTTTTGCACACTGTTTTTCAGCTTGCTTCTTATGAAACTGCTTTGACCATTATGGAAACCCTTTGTACGTTTTTGGCATTGCATCTAGGAGTCACTTTACATATTCACCTTTATATTGTGGCTAGTGTACTATATAATATTAATCCTATGTGGATCTCTTCTTTCTAAAAGCTTGTATTGTTCTGTTCCCTCTTTTCTTCTGTCAGTGTTCCCACATCCTCTTTTAATTTTTATGCAAAAGGTCACAAAACCAAAATAGGACCCACAGTAAGTAGAAAATACCAAAAACCAATAAATACCATGCTACAGACAAATACAAAGTATCTCAAATAATTTATCTACATTTTTTTATAAATTATTAACCATATTAATTATCATATAAACATTAACACATAGAAAGAATCATATATCCAAACATCTAAGTATCATGTTTTATATCACAAAAGATATTGCACAACCCCTTTATTAATACCTGTCCTCTTTAATTGTACAAAAGTTTTCATTGTAATACCAGACATTCAATTTATTGTTTAATATGCCCCTGCCAGCTTCTATACATAGGATGTTCTATGAGGCCTGTTAAAACAAGGGTCTTGGAACATAAATCACACCTTAAGCACCAAGTGACAGATGCCTCTTTAACAAATCACTTTTTAACCATGAAACATACTCCAGAAGATTTAAGATTCTTTGTACTTAAAGAAATGTAAAATTATCCTTATAATAGGGTGGATATCAATAAACTCTTACATCAACAGGAGGCACGCTATATTTTTTAATTTGATACCTTGGAACCAAATGGTTTGAATCAATATAATGACTTATGTTTTTTGTGAATTACTGCATGAAAGGACAGAGTCTCAAAAAACTTATTTCTAATGCTGTTGAATGGCTTTTAATGGAGGACCATGTCCCTTTAATTGTGCTCTATATAATTATGCAAGGTTAAGGAGAGACTGAACATGCTTTTCACTTTGGAGGAAGCCTTGAGCTCACTAAAAGAGACTTTTTGCAGTGTTCATTTGTGAAATTTGGAAACAACTGTGCATGTGCACAAACGTGAAACGCTTGCCACGCCGCTTCTTTGCCATGCTCCAGCATCGCCGTGTGATCGCCAGCTAACAGCCTAAGCTCGAAGCCCTGGGGGACCGTGCGATCGGGCTGTGGATTGTCTAGATGGCATCCACTGAATGAGGCACTCATGGTGGCGCTTTTAAAAAAAAAAAAGTTTGCGCATGTGCATAGGCATGATATCACGGCCTTGTTTATCCATGCATGCGCAGAAACAATATATATATATATATATATAATTATTTCAGATACTTTGTATTCGTCTGTAGCACAGTATTTATTGATTTTAGCATGCAAAAGGTGCCAGATTGAATTTCTGGCACCCCCCGGTTAAAGGATCCGGCAATAGGTGATAATGCAAGAGTTCTTCCTGGGACCATGGAGAATAGACAAAACTGGGCTAGACAGACCAGTAGCATAGGGCTGCTTTGTGTGTGTATCCTGTCCTCCCCCCCCCCATGCTGTCTTTTCTTCCCCAGTCACATTTGAATGTGTACTGTCTTAAAGGTACAGCAATCTTCCTGTACTTCAGTGGCAGCCCAGTAGATATTTATTTTATTTACAAAATTTGTATCCTGCCTTTCTGCCATTTCAAGGGTTGGCTAACAA